TCAAGGGCATGTATCTTGGTTGTGGGCACATCCCCAGTAGGGGGTGTGCAAGAGGCAGCTGGTCGATGTTTCTCTCTCATCGACGTTTCTAGCTCTCTATATCTCTCCCTTCCTCTCTGTAAAAAAATATTTTTTTAAAAAAACATCAATAGCACATGGCTTACTTAGAGAGATCTTGTAACTTGCTCACATTCACAATAAGAAGCTGAAAATCAGCCGAAACCAGTTTGGCTCAGTGGTAGAGTGTCGGTCTGTGGACTGAAAGGTCCCAGGTTCGATTCCGGTCAAGGGCATGTACCTTGGTTGCGGGCACATTCCCGGTAGGGGGTGTGCAAGAGGCAGCTGGTCAATGTTTCTCTCTCATCGACGTTTCTAGCTCTCTATCTCTCTCCCTTCCACTCTGTAAAAAATTAATAAAATAAAATTTTTAAAAAAAGAAGCTGAAAATCAGCTTTGCCTGATATTGGAACCTTGGCAGGGAACACTATGTTATAGTAACATATAGCTATACTTATTGATTTATATGCATTTGTTATATTTCTAAGAAAGCACATATTAAATTCAAATTATAGAATTTAAGTTTTGTAAATGAAGAAACTTTTATTTTAATCATATCCCCAGCACCTAGAAAAACTCTTGACATTTATTAAGTGCTCAGTAAATTTTATTTTGTGCATATGCTTACAAAAATGGATAGGAACAATTATTTCAATATAGGAATTACAGGCTAGAAATTACTGATTCACAACAGGTCTTGTCGGGGTTGGGTGGTTTTTTTTGTTGCAAGCATTTTAGTAAGGTAGAATGCTAAACCTAAATATCACTCTAACAAATTCAGTAATTATTCATTCAAGAAATATTTATCTCCATTCAGTAATATAATTGTACATCTACTAAGTGCTAGAAACTTACTACCAGAGATATATTGGAAATTGTAAACAACAATAAGAAAACAGCTATTGCAGAATGCAATGTGCCATGAAGGAGGCCAAGTAGAAGATGTAAAGACAGAAAATAGCAGAGGGGACTATGGTGTTGTCAGAGTATCCTATCTAATAAAAGAGTAATATGCAATTTGATAGTACCTACACTACACCCACCAGCCAATCAGGAGAGAGTATGCAAATCAACCCAACCAAGATAGCTATGGCCATAGAGAGAGCAGGAGGTTTGGGTTTCCCCAGCAATGAAAGAAGCCAAACTTTCTGCCTGCCCTGGCCTGACTTGGCCTTCACTTAAGACTACAAAGTTTCAATTATAGGAGATAAATAAATCCCAGATCCCAGGGCCTCCACTTTGGTTGCTGGGGGATGTGGCCAGCCTGCAAACCACCACAGGCCCCTCTCCCAGAACACCCCACACCTCAAGGGACCCCCACCCTGATCCGGGACACACTTCAGGGCAAACCAGCCAGCCCCCACCCATGCACCAGCTCTATACTATCTAATAAAAGAATAATATGCAAATTGACCATCACTCCAACACACAAGATGGCTGCCCCCATGTGGTCAAAGATACTGCCCCCATGTCGACACAAGATGGCCACCACAAGATAGCCAGCAGGGGAGAGCAGTTGGGAGGGACCAGACCTGCAGGGGAGGGTAGTTAGGGGCAAACAGGCTGGCATAGGAGCAGTTAGGCATCAATCAGGCTGTCAGGGGAGTGGTTAGGGGGTGATCAGGCTGTCAGGCAAAAGCAGTTAGCAGCAATCAGGAAGGCAGGCAGGTGAGCAGTTGGGAACCAGCAGTCCTGAATTCCCAGATTGGAGAGGGTACAGGCTGGGCTGAGGGACAACCCCCCCACCCCCCGCACGAATTTCATGCACCGGGCCTCTAGTCTATAATAATAAAATCATAATATGCTAATTAGACCAGACATCCTTCCAGACGAAGCTGAGGCTGCTAGTGAAGCCTGGGTCCTGGGTGCCAGAGGGAAGCTTGTGCCAGTAGCCGGGGGATGGAAGGCCTACTCTTGCACAGATTTCATGCATCAGGCCTCTAGTTTCTCAATAAAATAGGAACAGTTCAGCTGAGATGCTGAGGAATGCCAGGAACACAAGGAAGGAACACAGGGGGTGACAAGTGCAAATGCCAAACACTTTAGGAAAGAAGTTGATATGTTGGAAGAATAGAAAGCAGGTCAGCAAGTCTGAGAAATGGTCCATGAAGTGCTCTTACCAGCCTAAAGGATTGTTGTACGAGGCTTCCTTCAGTCTCTTACCTCCTTTACTACGTGTCATTGTGTGAAAGCACCAAGCCAAAAGCTTTATTTTTCTTGGTTTTGGGTGAAGGGGCCAGTTCCCCATTGTTCATGGTGGAAAAGTGTGATCCACAAAATAGAAACCTTTGAATCTACTTAATCCAGAACTTTTGTCTCCAGGGAGGGTGGGCTGCACTGTTGAATAAATGCAGGAGGAACTTTTCGGGGAACATGAAAGAGCAAATTTAGCAAGCCCAGAGACCTGATCTATGGCGGGGACATTCCTTTCCTTGGTTACAGTGGAAAATTCCTCAAGCACAGCCTGGGCCTACCTGATTCATCCTGCAGCTCTGTTCCAGCCCAGCACATGTTCCAGGAAGATGACAGGGAGAATTTCCCAAATGTGATTTTTCCCAAAGCCTCCAACGTAAGTTCATTTCAACTCAAAGCAAGATATCTTCTCGCTGCTTTGAGATGAACTTAGCTTTTTCTCCCTCCACCCCTTCTCCCCATCCCCGTTGTGGCAATCTGCAAGAGAAACTAGAATCTATTATACAACTACTGATGAGCTGGCCACTGGAGCCTTGGTGAAGGACACAGCTTGTCACATGGAAAACCCAGCTCGGCAACTGGTCCTGAAGAGCATTCCATCAATTTGTACCAGTCTTCACCTGCTACTGGGATGACATATGTGACTTTTGAACAAGTAGTCAAACAACCACATAAGACTTAACCACCCCATAAGAACGACTCAGACTCTCTTGCAAGCTGAACTCCCTCCAATCATATCAAAGAATATTCCTATGTGTCCTTCTGGAGAAGGGGACAATTCCATTTCCTGCCTGCCAGAGCGTCTCTTTCTTCTTCATAGAAACCTAACGGCAATTTTCAGCCTCAGTTGAGGACTTGTTCCCCCCTCCCCCACCCCACCCCCACTTTTTTTTTTTTAACTTCAAATACTTTCTAAATGGTGTTAGCTGAAGCATTGTATGTACATAATTAACTCACAGGTCCCTCTGGGCTCATCTCGCTAAACTCGAGGAGCTTAACTGAGCAAGATGTTTGCTTATGTCTCCTCCTTCGTGGAAACGAATCCCTTCTACAAAAGGAAACTGGGGAAATGTCTTTCCCACCTTGGTTTTCCAGTGACTTAATGATTTTTGGTTTCATGACAATAATGATCAATCGGCTTTTGCTTTCAAGTACGAAATTTGCAATTTGGGGAAGCAGGGTAGAAGGTGGTGGGGGATTCGGTATTTTCCTCCTCGTTGAAGTAGAAAGACATGCTTCTCATTTTTGTATTCACCAGATCTTTGAAATTCCCTCAGGGTGGCAGTGGCTCTCTGTGGGCACAGGGCTCCGAGGGACCCGGCATGTTGAGAGCAAATGTAAGCCAGCCCCGCGGTGTCCTGTCTTCACGAGCAAAGCCCTCAGGAAGACCTGCAGCACTTCCCCAAAACAAAGTGCCAGGGCGAGGGAAGGGGCACGGTTCAGACCTTCAGACCAACTGTGCTGGCTAGATTCATACAGAACTCAGCCCTCTGCTTCCCTCTGCCTGTGTAGACACAAATGCCTGCCGTGGTGGCTGTTTGAATGAAGGAGTCGGTTGTGATGGTAGAAAACTTCTGGCCGCTGTTTCCCCTTCTATTCCCAGCACAGAGGGCTTCAGCTGGGCGCTGAGAGACTCTTTTCCCATCCCGTCCTCTCTGTGGAGGTTTGCAATCCCAGGCCTTGCCCTTTAACTCCACCAAGGGACTGCATGCTGCATGCATCCCCTAGAGGTGAGCAAAAGGGACCTGGATGCCCACTTCCTGCCTACCTAAGCCAGCCCACTTCTCTTTGCCGCCCCCCCCCCCCCCCCGAAGCGCAGGTGTTGGGAGACAACCCTCCTGCAAGCCAGGGGGGTTGGGGGCGGCCGAGGAAACACCGCCCTCAGCTGCGGGGCACGGGAACGGGGAGGTGGAGAGAGCGCGTCCATGCTTTTCACCTGAGCCTGCAAGCCAGCGGCTGGCTGCCCAGGTGCCGGTGGCGGCTGCGTGTGCCCCGCTGGTTGCCGCAGAGAGCAGCCGCAGCCTCGGCCTCGGCCACCGCCGCGACTGGGAGAGTCCTGGGCTGCTGACGCGGTTGGGAGGAGCCTCGCCTTTAATGCACCAGCCGCCTCCAGCCTCCAGCCTCCTGCAGCCGCAGCAGCAGCAGCAGCAGCACCACCACCAGCAGCAGCAGCAGCAGCAGCAGCCACCGCAGCCGCAGCGGGTGTGCGCGCGGTGGGTGTGCGGGTGAGTGCGCTGTGCCGGCCGCAGCGCCCTGCCCAGCCCCGCCGGCTTCCTCGCCTCCGCCCGCCAGCTGGAGCCGCCCTCCCGTGGGACAGGCACCCCCGCCCGGCCCGGCCAGCCTGCATCCTGCCCCTGCCATCTCGCCCTGCAGCTCGAGTCCAGCAAGGCACCATTTTGTCTCGGCTGCCCCCTCTCCCGAGGGGAGGAGGGATTTTTTTTCTTCTTTTTTCTATTTTGCATTTCGGAGCGACTGCCAACGAGGAGAACCTGTTGGGCATCTCCCCAGCCCGGCTGGTGAGCGCCTCCGGGGCGGCGGGCGGGACCAGACCCCTCGGGGCACGGCGGCGCATCTCGGCACCGGAGGCGGCGCAGCATCCTCGCCGGGAATCGGAGCCGGAGCGCCGCGGGCGGAGCCGCCGCAGCCTCGGAGAGATCCCGAGCGGAGGAGGTGACAGCTCCATTGCCGGGTTTTTATTTTTATTTTATTTTTTTTATTTTTTCTTCTCCGCCTCCCCGTCTCCTCCTCAGGCTCGGACCATGGTGCAGTCCCACCAGCTCCCCTGCCCCCCTCTCCCGTGAGCCTGGCTGCGGGGAGGGATCATGGATACTTGTCTGCCGGCTTCTGGTTCCCACGCAAGTAAGCCTGCTGTCAATGGAGGAGGACATTGATACCCGCAAAATCAACAACAGTTTCCTGCGCGACCACAGCTATGCGACCGAAGGTAACGCCGGCCCCGCAGCATGCATTCCGCCGCGGGGGCCGGGCGGCGCGAGTTGCGGGTCATCGCTGTGCTCCGCGGGCGGCAGGGCGCGCGGTGGCGGGGACGCATCCGGGGCAGGGGCCCGGGCTGGGGCGGGGGCCGGGGCTCGGCTCGCTGGGGCGGCAGCCGGAGCGCCCCACATTCATCCATCCGGCCTCCGCCTGGCGAGCCCGGCATTCAGCAGCAGGTGGACCCGGCGCCCGCGGGAGCGAACATGGCCCTCGGGGATTTTTCAGGGTGGGGCTCCCAGCTGGCAGAATGACCCCCAGAAAACAGATGACTTCTCCCCCGAGATGTTTGCAGGGGGTCTTGTAGGGAGAGGAAGGAAGGGGCCCAGAGGACCGCGGGTCTGAGCCCAGCCGAGCCCAGCGATGCATCTCTCAGTGGCTGCAGGGAGGGCATGGTTTCATTTCCTGCAGGCTCATCTCAGGCACGGTTACCTGCTCAGACAATCAAACCCCCGAAAGGCCCTTGGCCGAAGGGCTAGCCCCTCTCCCCTTGGAAGTGCATTTGCAGGCAATGAAAAGGTGGCTGGGGAAACGGTGTTCTGGCGAGCGAATTGGTGTGACACGTGGGGCGAGCAATGCGATGAGTGGGGCCTTTAAAAATCCCCATTATGGATTCTGCAGCAGGAGTTTCTGCTGAATCAACAGCCAGCAAGCAGAAAGCGAGAGGGTTCAGGAAGCTGAGCTTTGCCAGGAGGTGGAATTGTCGCCTCTCCCTCTTCCAGCCTGTGCTGGTATTAGCCTGGTGCTGTGTACTCGGCAGGCAGAGAAAAGTCAGCAGGTGGAACTCATTCTGCCTTTTGTGTGTGAATAGAGTGGATGTTTTTGTTGTATGGTGTTTTTTTAAATACCAAAACTTTTGTATTTTTACTTTCATTTTCTACCTGGAGGCCTTTATCCTTAACCACTCATGTAAAGTGTTGCATTATCACATGGTCATTTCCACGTGAGGAAAAAATGTGTGCGAACGTGCTTTAGGAAAATGTAGCAAGGTGTGTGAATGTAAGACTATTATTCTTGGGTGCTGAAAGATCTATGATATTTAACAAATCAAAATAACTAGAGAAATGGGATGGGGGTTCAAGCTCCGAAAGAAATAAAAAGACTCAACATGGGGAAAGCTGGCATTTTCTATCAGTATCCTTGGAAGTTTTAGATAAAAAGACTCCCTAGCGCTACTGAAAATACGTTCTCTGTTCATCCTCATTATTGGAGAACAGCATGCCTAATATTTCCATGGTGCCAGCAGATTAAGCAGAGTTGTATGAGCTCTGGCCTCCAGGAGCTTAGAAACGGCTTTTAAGATATTCCGCCTGTCCCTCCCCCACAACCAAGCACCATACTTGCCGATCCCTTGTCATTTGCATGGTGACAGTGTAGATGTAAGATGTTCATCCTCAGTCTTAGCGCTTTGTCACTGACTCAGCTGCTGGGTAGAATATTATCAGCTCTGTGTCTGAGTCTGGCATCCAAGAGAGAAGTTGGCCTTGGGTCTGTGGGCTTTATGGGGGACACCACTTCTGCTTGTGGCAACAAAGAAAGAGGGCTGCCTCCATGCTTCCCGCTGTACTGCGTCATGCTTCCGGGGGCGGGCAAAGGAAACTTACTGAGCTGAGAAGATGGGCACGTTGGGGCCTTGTGTATAGGGATTACCCAAGGACCCTAGAGAGTGCCTGATCTTTGTTCCTATGATATGGAATTTGGGTAAATTGATTCTGAACAAAATGTCTGGGTTTATTTAGCCAAAATAAGGCAAAGAGCTTTCCAAAATCTTTCTAAATCAGCCTCTCAGATACTCTCTCTGTCTCTGACTCTCTCTTAGACCTGGACATTGTAAAAAAGTGGGAGTTAGGTAGGGCAGGAAGTTCTCTATGGTCTTAATCGGTTCATTTTAGGGCACATCCATGCAGTCATGCTGGCCCGAGGGGGAAGAGTCCCTCTTCTCCTGATGAATACCTTACAGGCCCTGGTACAGCTTGAAAGAGCTCCAGGTGAAAATAGTCTTCGTTAAAATCCACTTTATTGGGAGTTTGCTCCCAAAGTTCTCTTCCCCTTTGTTAACTTAAACCCACTTTCTGAAGAATTAGCATCCAGGTCCTTCTGCAGATTTTTCTTTTTTTTTTTTTCTTTTTTTTTCTCCTCTCTCTTTTGATATTTTTCCTACCTGCCAAGATATGTCAGATTTTTTTCTCCAAGATCTCCTTCCCATTTGTCTCTGAGCTTTCCTCGCTCTGCTCAGCTCATTCCACACTGCAGTGTTCTATTTAAAGCTGAAAGGGCTTTGCTGTGTAGTTAGTGTGAAGGACTGCAAGCTCGATTTGCATTGTAAGTGGTAGCTGCCTGCAAGTTTATCTAGCTAAGAGCAATGAAAATGCCGAAGGACACTTTTACCCAAGACCACTTCTCTCTCTCTCTCTCTCTCTCTCTCTCTCTCTCTCTCTCTCTCTCTCTTCCCTCCCCCGAAATGTATGGGTGTATTTATAAAAAATATTCTTATGACTCTTATTCTGGGCATTAAAGTTACCACCTTTCCTACCATTTTCTACTTTTCCTCCCTTTTTAAAATTACCATCTTAATATTAGCATCTTTTATGATCCAAGCACTGTGCTAAGTTTTTTGTAGTAGCATTTTAATATAGCCAAACCCAGCTAAGTGGATGCTGTTATTTCCATTTTCAAATAATGAAACAGCAACAGAGGCCCAGAGATGTTACTGGTTTGCCAAGGTCACACAGACAATCAAGGCAAGAGCTTGTCTTCAAGCCCAAGACTGTCAGAGGACCCACCACAGTCCCTTCCATTAGGAAGTTCTGCACAGCTTCAATGTTCTTTAACCATGAGCTACTGCTATGGGGAAGAGCACAATGGTTTTCTCTTTATGTATAAACTAGAGGCCTGGTGCACGAAATTCAGGGTAGGGGGTGTCCCTCAGCCCAGCCTGCACCCTCTCCAATCTGGGACCCCTTGAGGGATGTCAAACTGCCCGTTTAGATGGGTCTAAACAGGAAATTTGACATCCCTCTCACAATCCAGGACTGCTGGCTCCCAACTGCTCACTTGTCTGCCTTCATGATTGCCCCTAACCGCTTCTGCCTGCCAGCCTGATCACCCCCTAACCAATCCCCTGCCAGCCTGATAGATGTCTAACTGCTCCCCTGCCAGCCTGTTTGCCCCCAACTTCCCTCCTCTGTTGGCCTGGCCACCCCTAACTGCCCTCCCCTACAGGGCTGATTGTCTCCAACTGCCCTCCCTTGCAGTCCTGGTCCCTCTCAACTGCCCTCCCCTACTTGCCTAATCACCTACATCTGCCCTCCCTTACAGGCCTGGTGCCTCCCAATTGCCCTCCCCTGCTGTCCATCTTGTGGTGGCCATCTTATGTCCACATGGTGGCAGGATCTTTGACTACATGGGGGGAAGCTATTGTGTGTTAGAGTGATGGCCAATCTTTTATATGAGAGCATATTACTCTTTTATTAGATAGGCCTGGTGCATGGGTGGGGGCCAGCTGGTTTGCCCTGAAGAGTATCCCGGATCAGGGTGGGAGTTCCCTTGGAGTGTGGGGCTGCCTGGGCAAGAGGCCTGTGGTGGTTTGCAGACTGGCCAAACCCCCCAAGAACCCAAGCAGAAGCCCTGGTATCTGGAATTTATCTACAGTTGAAACTTTGTAGCCTGGAGCGGAGCCAAGCCCCCTACTCACTCCATGGATGCCGCCATTTCTGTTGGGGTTCATGTATCTTGTATAAATGAAACTTTGTATCCTTGAGTGGAGGCCGAGGCCGCCAGGACAGGTGGAAAGCTTTGCTTCCTCCATTGCCCGGGGCAACCCTAGCCTGCTCTCTCCAGCTCCATGGCTGCCACCATTTTTCTTAGGATTTATCCTCTATAATTGAAACTTTGTATCTTGAGTGGAGGCCTAGGCCGGCCAGGGTGTGTGGAAAGCTTGGCTTCTGTCACCAGGGAAACCCAAGCTCTCAACTGCTCTCTGTGCCTACAGCCATCTTGATTGGGGCTAATTTGCATACTCGCTCTAATTGGCTGGTGGGTGCGGCTGGTGGCTCTGGCTTGAGCAGAGTAATGGTTAATTTGCATATTACTCTTTTATTAGGATTGTATTCTCATCTAGGGTAGAATTCTTTGCAGGGGTCATTTGAAAGTGTGTATAGGGGTTATATGTGAGAAAAGGCATGGGTGGAGTTGGAATAGACACACACACACTGGTTTTATTGGTTTTCCTCCAATGTGGGGTGTCTCTCTCTCTCTCTCTTTCTCTCTCTCTCTCTCTCTCTCTTTTTCTCTCTCTCTCTCATTTTATTGGTTTTTCCCCAATGTGGAACCCTGAGTTCCCTAAACAGAGGCGCATCTCTCAAACCTATCTGATCTACATGCGGCTTTCCTTCTATATTTTTAGACTTGTCAGAACCAACTGACAATCCCTCTCTATTAGAGCTGTCAAAAATTTTTTTCTATCAATCTTCCTACTCCCAAATGAGGCCACAGAGGGAATAGGTGGGGTTTATAGGAATGGCAATCTGGTAAGAAGGGGAAGTTGGAAAACTCATTTTAAAACAACTACTCTGGTTTGGGTTTCCTTACCTGTAAAATGGGAGTAACAGTAGAACCTGTGCCACAGAAAAAAATTAATACTGGGAAATCACTGAATACTGTGCCTAATATAAAGCCAGACCTCAATAAATGTCCTCAATACATTATAGCTGTTGTTATTATTACTTACGCTGCATTTTCATAGCAAGCACTGTTTTTTCTCAAATTGTTTGATTTGAGTTTATCTTAAAGAGAAGGGCTGGTGGGAGTAGGAGAGCGGTCACACTAAAACCCACCGCAGTGTCTTAGGGGCTCAGCCACTAACCATGGACCTTGCCATTAATTAATTTGCCTTAATGTATTTGCTGGTTATATTCTGGTAGCAAATAAGTTCTGTCTTCTCCTGGAGGCCTT